AGCTTCTAGAAAAAGAAGAGTAGGACAAACCTTAAGCTCATACAAGGGAAGAAATGATAAAGATCAGAGCAGAAAGCAATGCAATGGAGAGTAAGAGAAAGCTAGAAAAAAATTAATGAAGCAAAGAGTTGGTTCTTTGAAAGAATAAACAAAATTGACAAACCCTTAGCCAACCTTATCAAAAAAGGAAAGAAGAGACCCAAATACATGCAATTAGGAAAGAAAAGGGTGAAATTAAAATGGACCCAGCAGAAATCCTGTGAAGCATCAATACGTACTTCCAGAACTAATATGCCAATAAGATGGAAAACACAGAAGAAATAGATTTCTAGATACATACGAATTACCAAAGTTGAAAAAGAAGACCTAAAAATTCTAAACCACCCAATATCAATCAACGAAATTGAAAACATAATTAAAAACTTACCGATGAAGAAAGTCCTGTGTTCTGATGGCTTCACTGCTGAATTCTAAAAGACATTTAGAGAAGAAATATTGCCACTATGGTTTAAACCCTTCAATGCAATTGAAAGGGAATCAATACTCCCAAATTCATTCCTGGAAGCAAGCATCACATTGATCCCCAAAGTAGGCAAAGACCTAACTGAAAAAGAGAAATATAGGCCATTCTCATTAATGAATATAGATGCAAAAATCCTTAATAAGATACTGGCAAGTAGAATGCAGAAGATCATAAAGAAGATCATACACCCTGGCCAAGTGGGATTCATTCCAGGGATGCAGGGATAGTTCAACATACACAAATCAATAAATGTAATACACTATATCAATAGTGCCAAGGAAAAAAACCCATATGATCATCTCAATAGATGCAGAAAAAGCATTCGACAAAATCCAACATGCATTTATGATAGAACTCTACAAAATTTGGAGTAGATGGTCTCTACCTCAATCTGATAAAAACCATCTATAAAAAAGCAGCAGCCAATATCATATTAAATGGTCAAAAACTGAAATCCTTCATACTAATATCAGGAACAAAACAATGATGCCCACTATCACCACTCCTGTTCAGTATAGTTTTGGAAATATTAGCCATGGCAATTAGACAAGAGAAAGAAAATGAATAAAGATTGGAAATGGAGAAGTCAAATTGTCATTATCTTCAGATGACATGATGCTCTATATAGAAGACCCCAAGAACTACACTAAAAGTCTTCTAGACTTAATAACCAAATTCAGTCAAGTAGCTGGATACAAGGGCAAAACAAAAAATCAATAGCTTTCCTGTACATGAACAATAGACTCACTGGGAGAGAAATAGGGCAAACAATTCCTTTCATAATAGCATCCAAAAACTGAAATACCTAGGAATCAATCTAACAAAAGAAGTCAAAGACCTCTTCTCATGAAAACTATAGCACTCTGAAAAGAGTTTGAAAACCATATCAGAAAATGGAAAGACATCCCTTGCTCCTGGGTCGGAAGAATCAACATAGTGAAAATGGCCATACTTCCAAAACTGCTATATAGATTCCGTGCAATCCCAATTGAAATTCTAGCCTCATACATCAGGGACCTTGAGAAAGCAATCCAAAAATTTATCTGGAACAAGAAGCGACTTAGAATAGCACAAGCAAATCTAGGCAACAAAAACAAGGTAGGGGGTATCACAATTTCCAACCTGAAATTATATTGCAAAGCTACTGTGATCAAAATAGCATAGTATTGGCAAAGCAACAGACTGGATCAGGAGAACAGATTAGAAGATGAAGAAACAGCTCCAGGCACACTTATTCACCTCATCTATGATAAAGGAGCCAAACACACTCACTGGAGGAAAGATAGGCTCTTTAATAAATGGTGCTGGAAAATTGAGTTTCAAGTTGTCAAAAATTAAAACTAGACCTATATCTCTCACCATGGACTAATCTAAAATTGAAAACAGAAACACTAAACCAGCTGAAGGAGAGGTTAGGTAGAAGTCTTGAAGACATTGGCATAGGAAAAGATTTCATGAACAAAATCCCAGTTGCACGTGAACTAGCAGAAAGAATCAAAAAGTGGAATCTCTTCTTATTAAAAAGCTTCTCCACAGGAAGAGAAACCACCAACAGCATGAAGAGACAACCCACAGTGTGGCAAAAAATCTTCACCTGCTGTTCCTCAGACAAAGGTCTACTATCTAGAATCTATAAAGAACTTAAAAAATTCAGGCCTCCCAAATTAAAAAACCCAGTCAAAAGATGGGCATCTGAAATGAACAGACATTTCTCAGACAAAGAAATAGAAATAGCAAATAAACATACGAAAAAATGTTCAACATGACTGGTAATTTGAGAGATGCAAATCAAAACAACACTGAGATTCCACCTCACTCCAGAAAGAATGGCTGCTATCATGAAATCAACCCTTTGAAATGGTGGCGGGGCTGTGGAGAAAAAGGAACCCTTCTCTACTGCTGGTGGGAGTATAGACTGGTGCAAACACTGTGGAAATCAGTATGGAGATACGTCAAAGAACTAGGATTAGAGGTCCCATTTGACCCAGCTGTTCCCCTCCTGGGTATCTTCCAAAAAGAATTAAAAGAATCATACCACAGTGATATATGTGCACCCTTGTTCATAGCATCACAGTTTGTAATACCTAAAACTTGGAAACAGTCCAGTTGCCCATCAGCTGGAGACTGGATAAAGAAAATGTGCTTTTTATTATAATATGGAGTACTACTCAGCCATAAAGCATGAGTAACTAGAGACATTTACAGCTGAATGCATGCACAGTCAGGCGATACTCACATTAAATAAATAGAACACACGTGTAAAAACTGAATAATTTTCCTGGTATGAGAAGCTGAAAGTGTAAATAAGGATTGAAATGAATAATAGATAATGTGAAATAGAAAGAAAAGGTGCAAAGGGGAAAGGGAAGTGAGAGGGGTCGGGGAAAGGAAGGAAGAGAAAGTAGAAAATATGAGAAAGGAAAAATGGAAAAAAAAAAAGCCTTTGTAAATAGGGAGGGGTGGAGGGATTGAAGGGAGGGCAGGGGAATGGGGAAAAAAATAAGAACCATGATATATTTTGTAAAGGTTCATATTCCCTGGCCGGGGATTTAGTTCAGTGGTTTTGCCACCTGCTGAGCAAGTGCAAGGACCCAAGTTCAATCCCTGGTACCAAAAAAAAAGGTTCATATTCCCAATGATGAATGTCATCATATTGTGTACCTAAAACGTACCTATAAAATTAATAAATTA